GGTTTAAGGCCTGAGGATCTAATGTAAAGCATGGTGACTATAGTTGATAACCCTGTATTGTATAATTGAAATTTACTGAGAGTAGAACTTAAACATTCTCACCAAAACAAATAAACAAATGAAAGAGATGACGGTATGTTAATTAACCAGACAGCCAGAATCCTTTCACAATGTGTATCAAATCACCACGGCCTACACCTTAAGTATCTTATCGTTTTATTTGTCAATTATACCTCCAGGAAGCTGAAAAAGCAGGAAAAATAAAAAGGAAAAGACAACCTGTAGGCGGACGATTAACTCACTCTCGCCGCAAATGTGTTTTGTGTCTGCACTCTTTTCCATGGGATTTCCCAAATGCGTGGGGATTCAGTTAAGGGGAGAGGCAGGACTCGCTGTGACCCCAGCCCTGATTTCTTTTTTCATTCTTTCGTTCACCTGGCCTCTCTGTGCTTAGGAAGAACTCGTTCCTAGGGGTCAAGTTTCCTGCCAACAGGCCACTGACGGCCCCTGAAACTGACAAACAAGACACTTTTTCACGTGTTCCCAGTAGCCTTCCTGGAGCTATTACAGCTGTCCATGCCCTGTAAACAGCCCACGGGGGAGGGGAGAGAAGGCTGGCTCAGGTCCTACGTGAGCCTGAGTTCAGATCCTGGCTTCACCGCCCAATAGCAACCTCTGGTGATGACCCGGAGCACCCTCTATGCCCCTGTTGCCTCGAAACTGGGTTTCACTGGGTGCTGTGGAAAGGAAGTCAGGTGATAGGTAAGGCACTCAACAGTGCCTGGCTTTTAGTGCTTAGTAAATAACAGTGGAGGTAACTGTTGTTATTAGAAGGAAAAGCCATGCTCAGCATCCCCTCCACATGATGGTGTGTCCACCCTCTAATGGGGCCAAGGATGGCGGCATCACTGGGACACTGGTGCATGGAGACAAAAAGGGGATCCAAAGCTCTAAACCCTCAGACTGTTTCTTGAAACACAGGGAAGGCAGGGACGGTAGAGTCTGCAGCAGAATGCAAGAAGGGAGGAGAGTCTTGAGGCCAGCCAAGGCCCAAAGCACGGCAAAGTGCCCAGGATTGCTCAGCTCAGAATACGGGAAACCTTCCAGGGGGCAGGCAGTGAAGGCTGCGGGGGCAAGAGGCAGGTGAGAGCTCCTGACTCTTCTCTGTCCCTCAGCTTCTCCCCTCTGCCCCCACCAGGCTCTCTGGTCCTTTCATCAGGGCCCCGGGCACTGCCAGGGTTAGGGGAGCCCACGCTCTGTTCTGTGGTTTGTGCCAACAGCAGGGACCCTTGGCGTTCCAAGGCCACTGAGAACAAAGCCAACCCTGAGTCTGTTGAAAAGCCCCGGACCTGGGTTTTTTCCTTGGCGCCTCTCCAAGCACAGCCGTCCGGACAGCAGCCCGCTCGGGCGCTCAGGCGCTGGCCTGAGAGGGCGCCTGTGTCCTGACTGCTGCCGCTCTGGGCTGGACGGAGGGGCCTGGCCGAGGGGAGGGCATTCCTGCTGGATGAGCTGATCTCCTTTCCTGTGGCAGGAAAAGTTTTCTGGCTATGGGAGTCTGACCTCACCCTGGCCACTCCTTGGGATCCAGAACCTTCCTTTCTAATGGGAGGTGGAGAAGGTGCTGGGTAGTGAGGGAACTGGGCGGGGGCGAGCAAAATTTCCCACATTTAAGGCAAGGCCTGAGTCACAGGTGCTTTTTTGGGCATTGAGTCAGCCACCTACCAAGTTGGGTAACCTTGGCCATGGTACTCACTTTTCCTGGGACTCAGTTTTCTCACCTGCAAAATGGGCTGCAAAAGGGTCCTTATTTGTCACTTTTAAAACTTTAAAAAGAGAAAAAAAAAGTGACCTGTGTCACCTCCTCTATACATTGCTCCTTTCCTTTCCTTCTGTCACTTCCTTTTCCCCAAGGAGATGCTTTCCTACTCAGCCCTGAAAATTCCAGGTCTCCCTCCCTCACCAGCGGCCCAGGAGGCAGCCACGCAGGCGCTGTGGGGAGGGCAGCGAGCTTGAGAGACTGGTGCCCAGGACACATCTCCAATCAGCTGGACAGATGCCACCGGTGGCTTTTTCCAAACTGCTTTTCCACTTTCCTTTCACCTGCCAGGACCTGTGTTTCTATGTCTGTGTTTTGAAAGCCTGGGGGTGGGGGGCGGGGAGGAGCTCAGGGTAATTAATGATTGATTCTCTGGCGCAGCCACCAAGAGGCCTCAGGGCAGGCTGTCGGCCATTTCCTGAGGTGCGGGGACAGGGTAGAAATCCTGCGTGGCTGTGGCACAACTAGACGAGTCTGGGAGGTGGGGAGGGTGGTGCCCTGAGCACCTGAAGTCACTGGGGACAGATGCTCTGCCTGGGGGCTGCCCTCACCCCCTGCCATCAGCTCTGCTCTCTCTGGGTCAAAGACTATTCACTGCGCCCCTCACCAGCACCCCCACCCCCCAGCACCCCCACACCCACCCTGCACCCATAGCACGCGTTCACTGGCCCTTTCCTGCTCCGCTGCTCACCTGTCCATCACCCAGTGGCTCACACAGGGCTGTTTGAAGAACTCACGGTGCCGCTGGGAACAGATTAAAGCAACCGACTTCTACAGCAAAATTTCAGAGGAGTTTTAACTCTGCCCTTCTTGGAAGTATTGCCCTGCCTTTGTTGTTTACTAATAATTAACTCTGGTACAGAGCTGCAGTATTCAAAGGGCTTTTACATTCATAATTCTTTTCATCCTCACAACAAGGCTACGAAGCAGATCTCACCTTCCCCACCTCCCACCCGCACCCACATCCTACAGAAGGGGAAACTGAAGCACAGAGAAAGGAAATGGTCCCATTTCACAAGGCCAGGGCTGAAATGCTAGCCTTCTTTCTAACTCGGAGTGGAGAGCTGTTGGATGCAGATTCTTTACCAGGTCAGGGAAGGCAGCACAACGGGTTAGCCAGGTGGGTCATTGGGGGCAGGGATCTCTCCCAAGGCTGGTCTCTGGGTAGCTGGCACAGAGAAACTTCTGAGACTTCATGTCAAGGGGAGAGAGAGACCCCAGGCTTTCCATCCTGGGGTACAGAGAGGCGAGGGGGACAGAGGCCCGTGGACCACGCTAAAGATCAAGGGCCTGTGGCAGAAGGCGGCAGGATTCCACCTACACAATTAAACACCCAGTCTGAACTCTGAGCTGCTTCTAAAAGACCCCAAAACCACCTTCCTTCCCAGCTCTATCAGCTAAAATGGCCAGCTCACCCTGGTTTCCCCCGGACAGTTCGATATTTTAACACCAAAAATCCACATCTAGGAAATGCTCTCAGTCTCGTCCCTGACAAACCCTACCACCAACTCGGCGGATTTCAGCTGAACCGTGGAAAGAAAGACCATCTTTTGAAGGTTCAGCAGATCAACTCAGAATTTAAAAATCACAGAATCCTCATTGGGGTTAGGTAGCCACCTGGGATGGATATGAAACTCTTTGAATGTTGAACTGAAAGAATGTTCATTTCCACACACACAAAAAAAACCCACTCAGATCTGTGGCCAGCATTGCCAAATTTTTTAAGGGAACCTCTTCTCTATATTCATATTGGCAACTAATTAAATTGTCTTGGAAAAACACTGAGTTAAAGAATTGTAACTGAGTTTCGATCGTAGGTTGCCAGATGACAGTTTTGCCAGGAAAGAAAGCCTTACAGGCGTCAAATCTGAGAAGAAGGTCCGGGAGAATGAGGTGTTGGTTTTTCTAAAGTGTGTTCTTAATTTCCCATTGCTCTGAGCATCTCTGAGGCAGGATGATAAACCAATTTTGGAATTTTAAGTTACAACAAAGGAAGGTTTGAGATGTTCATGCTTCACTGAAAGGACCATAGGCTTTTTTTTTTTAGGTTTGAGGAAAAACTGTGATAAAAGGCTTTAAAAAATTATACATAATTTCAACCTCTTCATTTTGCAAAGAGTTTGCAAGGTATTGGTTAATATCATTTTCTTGGCCTTGATTGAAAAGAACTAGGAAGTAACAAGGAACCCAGGCCTGACTTCCCATTGTAATAAAAAGCAGGACCAGGCCGTGAGGCGATGGGGCTCACTGTGTTCTTGCTGCTTGTTGGCTTGTGGTCTTGAGAACTTCTCTGCGGAGCCTCCTCCTGGCCATCTGCTATGTCACCTGCTGTCTAGGCAAGGGGTACTCGCAAGGTGGTGGGGGATGTGGGTTTTGCACTTCAAGTTTTCAAATTAAAATGAAATTTTAAACAACGAACTCACAAAAGAGGACAGGAATGTTTTGATAACTTACTGGCTCTGTCCTTTGAGAAGTTTTGCTAAAACGGGGAAGGAGAAGGGGTCTTGTTCGGGTAGACTCTCTCAGGTTTGCAGAACTCTTTGGGTAAGAGCTTGCCAGGTCCATCGCATGCAGAGCACTACCTCCCGAGCAGGAGGGGAGCCAGGGCAGACTTTGCTGGGTCTTTGCTGGGACCTCCACACTCCACAGCTCCCCGACAGCAGCGGGGCGGGCGCCAGAGCAGTGAACTGGCCCGTGGGGTCGGGGGGGACCCACACTGAGGTCCACTGCCACCCCAGCACCTTCAATGCTCTCCCTGTAGTCGGGGAGGTCAGACTAGAGAAGCAGAGTATCTCTAGACATTTAGAAACCACAGAGCCATTTTAAATAACCATCTTGGAGAAGCATTTAAAACAATAAAGCACCTATTGTTTTTTGTTTAGAGCCAGGTATGCATGTGGAGGACCCATTTCGGGACATTCTTTTTCTTTTTATAAAATGATTAATTTCTGCTAAATCGAGAAAGGAGAAAGGCTGGGTGGGAGGAGGAAGTGGGTGAATCTGAAAGATAGAGCTTTGTCTTTTAATGAAGAAAAATTATGTGTACTCACACAAGCACGCACACACACACACACACACACACACATCCCCCCCGAATCACCCCAGGTTCCTCTGCCCCGCCCCTTCCCTCTCACTCCAGCAGCTCTAGCCTCTATCCCAGAGCAGATCCTCCAGGCCAGGAGCCTCGCGTCCTCCCAGCTGTAACCCTGAGTCCAGAGCATGGCCTGAGATTGGGGGGCACCCAGGTCTTGCCCCACCAGCCTGTTGGTGCCCCAGGACATTTGTTCTGCTACACAGTCTTCCCCGTACCCCACTTCCCGCTTCGCTGGCGGAAGAGCAGGCCTGTGAGGACAGAGGGGGCAGCTTTTGCCCCCAACAAAAGCCTTCTCATTCCCACCCAAGAGAGCCCTTCGCATCCACACCCAGGCCCCCACCGTCCCGAAGCTGCTGAGTCCTGCAGACAAGCCAGAGGTCAGCTCAGTCCTGTCCCTTCCCAACACCCTTCCACGTGGAGGTGAAAT